GAAACAATTCCATTTACCATTGCATCAAAAAGAATAAAATACCTAGGAATAAGCCTACCTAAGGAGGCAAAAGACCTGTACTCCAAAAACTGTAAGATGCTGATGAAAGAAACTGAAAACCATACAAACAGATGGAAAGAATGGAGGTGGAGGAATCATGCTCCTGGTCTTCAGACTATACTACAAAGCTACAATAATCGAAACAGTATGGTACTGGCACAAAAATATATGGATCGATGGAACAGGATAGAAAGCCGAGAAATAAACCCATTTGTGGTCAATTACTCTACAACAAAGGAGGCAAGAATGTACAGTGGAGAAAAAAATCTCTTCAGTAAGTGTTGCTGGGAAAACTGGACAGCTACATGTAAAAGAATGAAATTAGAAAACCTCACACTATATACAAAAATAAACTCAAAATGGATTAAAGACCTAAATGTAAGACTGGATACTATAAAACTCCTAGAGGAGAACAGGCAGAACACTGACATAAATCGCAGCAATATCTTTTTGGATCCATCTCCTAGAGTAATGGAAATAAAAATAAATGGGACCTAATTAAACTTAAAAGCTTTTGCAAAGGAAACCATAAACAAAACGAAAAGACAACCTACAGACTGGGAGAAAATATTTGCAAATGATGTGACCGACAAGAGATTAATTTCCAAAATATACAAACAGCTCATATAGCTTAATATCAAAAATTAAATCAAAGAACCCCAATCAAAGAAAGCATGGCTTCTTTATCTGAATGACCAAGATGTTCTTTCACACTTCTTATAACCCAGATTAAAACATAAGTCCATCAGATAAATGGAAGCAATTTTAAAAATAAAGAGGGATAGAAATTTCATTTGTATATACATGGGGAAAAAGTGTTATATTTTTTTAAAGATCAGAATTTTGCAAATTTTATGGATGGTAAAAACTGTTCCATTTTCCATGTACTCCCTTAGGTTTACCAAATCAAACTCTCTACAATGAGTATGTCTTAACACTGAGCTGTTTTAAATTCTTATTTTCCCGTTGTCAATGGCCAAGTGCAGAGGTCATCAGGAGGTCAACTCTAATCCACCCATGGACATGGCAGCCTTGACTACTGATGTTCAAGCTAGACACCATCAGCAGAACCACATCTCCTCACATGGGTGAATTTCTACTAGTAATCATGGACGGAAACGGGGAAATCAAAGGATATTCTCTATTGAGAATCAAAGTTGTAGATCCCTATCATGGGTTCATTACTTTGAATGTTTGACCCAAAACACATATATCTATTGCACCATGTCCAATTCTACTATCTTTATAAGATGCAGCCTTACAGTGAAAGAGAAACAGGTGCAACAGCAATATCTCATCCTCTCTGAAGCCCCTAGACTCAGAAGTTTTAAAGGCAAAAGAAAATCATACTTTTCCTGAACAAAAAGAGTAGAGGCATTTAAATTTAAATTTGGAGTCTGTCCCATCCCTTAACTGTCACGTACACTCTCTTTCCACAGAAGCCTGAGTTTAGGATGTGTTGTTCAGAGATTGTATTGTGATGAATGAAGTATTTTTTTATTCTTTAAAAAATATTACTAATTTGTTAAAAAGTGATGGAATGAGCATAATACTAAATTTCATGACTTTTTTTTACCAGAATACTGAGATGGACCACCTTGAAGTCCAGTTTTTTCATGAGAGTCTTTATTCAGTGACAGCATTAACTTCCCTATAAAGCAAATAATCCCCACAAAAGAAATGTTAAAAATATGACTCATGCTCGCTGACTTGAAAGAAAGCAAGGCAAACTGAGCAGTTAGATATCAGTGTAATAAATTATATACATGAATCTTACTGCAGCATTGTTTATAATAGTGAAACTGGATGTCATCAAATATCTACCAAAGAAGGAATAATTAGACAAATCATGGTATAAAAAATAATTAGGAACTAAGAATGAACGGAAGAAAGACTTATCAATAACAATTGAATAAAGCAAAGCTTTCACAGGGAAATAAAGGAACAAAAAACAATTCAGACTTCATTTCTGGTTCAGCATGTGAAGAATTTGGAAGCTGCCATTCTAACAACAAGTAAAAAACTAAACAAACTGAAAATCAGTAAATTTTGTTAGATCTATCAAAGAATTGAGGTCACAGGCAAATTGCCGGCCCCCAAATCAGAGAGACAGACAGGTAGGTACAAAGAATCTCATTTACCGAAGCAGAAATGTGCAAGCAGAAACCTCCATGGACACCAGGGAGGAAACCTGAACCGCGATTGACAAATTGCTGGAGGCTCAGTGCAGCAAGTGTGAGAGTTGCAAACTCCAGGGGGGGCCCAGTGTTAGGGAGGGTCTCAGAACCTCACCCACTTTTGTGAGTCTTAGCTTCAGAATTCCTACCAGGTTCTCACTCTGAAAAATTGGAGACAGTGTGCTGCACGTCCAGCAGGGGAACTAGAAACTGTTTTGAAATAGGCCCACAACATTTTATTCTTCTTAATGAAGCCTGCCCTCAAGAGAATCTATTTTACCAGACCCTAAACAACTTGGGATTTAACAGAACATAACTGACCTGAAGGAAGAGAAATACCAAAATCCAGCCCTCTCTAGAGAAACTATATGAATGTAATACATGTAAGAAATACATGTGGCTAGAGAGCCATGTAATACATGTAATACATGTGGCTAGAGAGCAAACCTTCATCCAGACCAAAGAACTCATGCTACGTGCTCACGAGGCTCTGCTCCGTGTCATCTTCCCTCTGGAGTCGGGTTGATGGAGCAGTCTCTATCTGGATACTGCCTTTGCCAGGGAAAGAGGAAAATCATGCACTGGCTCTTAAGCGTGTGCTCACATTTCTTTCCCTGTTCATCAACCCCTTTGCCGTGACTGGAGAAACAAAGGGCAGGGCTGTATAATCCTCCAGTGAGAGGAGAGCGACAGCAAAGTGCATTGAATGTGGGCGAATCGTAATCCAGTTCCACACCAGGCTTAAGATTTTTTGTTTTTGCAGTACGCAGGCCTCTTACTGTTGTGGCCTCTCCCGTTGCAGAGCACAGGCTCCGGACGCGCAGGCTCAGTGGCCATGGCTCACGGGCCCAGCCGCTCCACAGCATGTGGGATCTTCCCGGACCAGGGCACGAACCCGTGTCCCCTGCATCGGCAGGCGGACTCTCAACCACTGCGCCACCAGGGAAGCCCCCAGGCTTAATATTTTGATGTTTATCTTAGGAGCAGTGGAAAACCACTGAGTACATTTTCCATTTTTAATAAATCACCCTGGCTGTAGTGAGAACAGCAGAGTGGGTGTGGGGAGAAACATTAGGAGGTCATTTCAGTTTTCCCAGGACAAAGGATAGTACTTTAGACCAGGGCCCTCGCAGTGGAACTGGAGAGAAACCAATAGACTTAAAGACAGGAGGACCTAGTGCTGTGCAAATGGAAGCAGAGGTGAGTGAACATATGGCTCCAGGAGGGTGGAAGAAACACAGCAGACCTGGCATCTCATGTCTCACCAGCTGCAGCTGCAGTCTTCTGGAAAGACAGCTAATCCATTCTCTGTTCTTAGGTTCCCTGTTTTCTCATAAATCACCCTCCTTGCTTAAAAAAAAAAAAAACCAGCATGATCTAAATAAAGGAGGGAACAAATGGATTGATTAATAGGGTGACCTGACAATAAGTGACAGAATGACCAGGGGTATTAATTGATGTCCCCAAATGTTCAGAGTGAAGAGAAACTAGACTCGTCCAGAAGAAAACAGTCTCCCCGCTGAGCCTGCCTCACAGGGATCCCTCCCTTCCCCACCAACACATCAGGGGTCTCTGTTCTTCCAGGGAGCCATGACCAATTTCATCTGTGACAGAGAAAGGGAAGCAGAGAGGGAGCTGGATGATGGATGGACTCCATGGAACCTCCACACCATCCTCTCCTCCCCTCCATGTGGCCTCCCTCTATTTCCCTTTGAGAGCCCCCAACTTGACTTCAAGTGGGAGAACTTGGGAATCACAAATGCCCCAAAAGATTTTCTGGGGCAGCAGCAGCATTGGGCAAGCTCATAGGGACCTAGAGCTGGGGGTCTTCACAGGCACGGAAAGAGCTGATCCTCCTCTGCCCTGGGTGCTCTCAGCAGCCATGAAGGGGAAGGATTTAGATGCACAGCTGTGTGATGGTGGACTCAACTCAGCCCAGCTCTGCCATGGGAGAGTTGTGGCTATTTTCCACGGTGCTCATCGGCTGACTCAGCTGGAGAGACATGTTCTAAGACCCAACCACAGCATGTCAGAGCTGAGGGGGCTCCAGGAACTCATTTTCCCCAGTGCCTCTTCAGATGAGAAAGCAGAAGCCCAGAAAGGAGGAGGAATTCCTCAGGGCCACACGGTGGGTGGCAGAGCGGGACTGGACGCTCACCTCCAGATGCTTCATCACACAAAACTTGTTCCTTTTTGGAGGCTCCTGGGTGATACCCACTACTCAGAACAACTAACAGTCCTGAGAACCCATAGCAGCATGTAGTAGGTGCTCAGTGGATGTTTGTTGACTGAATAAATGATTGTAACGGGACACAAAAACCAAGCCTTGAGGCTGGAAGGGGATCCCCAATCCTCCCTTTTTTAAATTATTATTTTTTTATAAATTTATTTATTTATTTTTGGCTGCTGTTGGGTGTTCATTGCTGCGCACAGGCTTTCTCTAGTTGGGGCGAGCGGGGGCTACTCTTCGTTGCAGTGCGCTGTTTTCTCATTGCGGTGGCTTCTCTTGTTGCGGAGCACGGGCTCTAGGTGCGCAGGTGTCAGTCGTTGCGGCACGCAGGCTCCAGAGCGCAGGCGTCAGTAATTGTGGCTCGCGGGCTTTAGAGCGCAGGCTCAGTAGCGCACGGGCTTAATTGCTCCGCGGCATATGGGATCTTCCCGGCAGGGCTCGAACCCGTGTCCCCTGCATTGGCAGGCGGATTCTTAACTACTGCACCACCAGGGAAGTCTTGTTCATTTTTGGTGTTGGTGGGTGAAACGGGGCTTGGGAAGAGAAGAAATGCATCATGAATTCTTTTGTAAACAGAGGACAAAGGGGTGTGGGAGGAGGATGTGAGCAGGTACCTCCCAGGAAACTGAGCACAGAGGACGCAGCAGCTGGTCCCTCACCCCTGCTCTCGCCGTATCACCCTGTCTCCCACCCCACACAAAGGGTGAACAGCTCGCAAGTTTCCCGGAGAGGATGGTTACATGACCTCGACCTAGCCAATCAGCATGTTTCATCCTCCCTGGCCACCGTGATTGGCTCAGGGGTGGGCTAGTGACCAATCAGGGCCCAGGGTGGGGCCTTGTGCTGGAATCCTGGGGAAGAGAAGCTGTGTTTCGCTTGCCCAGCCCGCGGTAGCTGCAGGGGACGCGAAGTCAGTCCGGGGCAGTTGGAGGGGACTTGACCTCAGCCTGTGGCAGTTGGTGGCCGTCTTGCTCCCATCAAGGTAGAGCCGCCTGCGTGAGGATGACACCAGTAAGCAGAGCCCAGAGGCGGGGAGAGACCGTTTCTGCTGACGTCCGTGAGCTCCAGGTGCAGCCCTGCCGTAAGCCGTCCACCTGTGGACTTAATTACGTAAGTCATTCTCTCCTGCTTGTTTGTTAGCCTGTTTGAGCCACTTTGGGTTTTCTGTCCAGCTGGCTAAGTGGAGACCCTGGAACCGCAACTGTGTGGGTTTCGTTTAGCTTCACGGAAGAACTTCCAGATAACACTGGAGACTCCAGTTTAATCTGGAGATCCGAATGGATTCAAGCGGTGTCTATTGGGGCCAGCTATAAATTCTAGGATCACCCAAATTAGTCCTCACAGAATTAGTCCCATTAAGGTAGCAATCCATGTCCCCGTTTAGAGGACAAGACTGGGGCTCAGAGAAGGGAGGTAACTGGGCTACAGTGAGGAAATGTGGAGCCAGACAGAACCCCCAGATCCTGCTGCTTGAACTCTGGGGAAGCCACATGGTATGGCTTGTTCTTTAGACGGGGCTAAGGTACCCAGCAGTGCTTGGGCCAAAGTGACTCCACAGGCATTTTGATGGCTGGAGGCTTCTGGCCATGGTCGGGGTGGGGTGAGGTCCCTGAGGCTCTGAAGGCCCACGGTGTGCAGGCTCAGGGGGCACAGAGAGGAGAAGGCAGAGGCCTGCCCCGGAGGTGTTCACAGATCAAATATGGACGGGCCAGACAGGCAGACAGGGTACCATAGCGCCTGAGCTGCTTTCACAGGTGAAGGGTGGGGGGCTTTTATTTCTCTATGGGACAAAGCTCTTAGCTTCACATTGAGTCCCATTAGGGACATAAATAGTGTCCCTTTTCATGTCCCTTCAGTATAAGAGGCCACCCCAAAACTTCCCCTCCCTTCCCCTTGTCAAGGCCTCCACACAGGCGAGCAGGGCTCCTTTAATGCAGTTCTGCAGATTTTTTGAGCTAAGGATTTAGAATAACGAGGCAAGGAGGGCCCTGCCCCACAGGAGGGCAGGGTGGGCAGGTGGTGATGAGTAACCTGTACAACCTCAGCCGGCTGAAGTGTCCGAAGCAGCAGGAGAGCAGCAGCCAAGCGCTGAGTGGGTGCAGAATAAGTGGATTAAATGTGTTCATCCAGCAGCCTCTGGGATGGTGGGCCCTGGAGCACAGCTCTAAGTGTGGAAGAGGGAGGGTCCCCAGTGCCTGGACCCCCACCTAGAAATCTGGGTTGAGATGTGACTTTGAAATCACAACACTGGTTCAAAGCTGGCTCCAACACTTGGGCCTCCGTTTTCTCATCTGTAAAATGGGAATATTGAAGCCTCTCCCTCTTAGGATGGGGAGGGGATTAAATGGGATGACAGGTAGAGCACAGGGGTTGGCTGGGCTGAGCGTGCACCCAGGCACGCTGTTGTTGCTGCTAAACCACTGTCTTCCGGGCCAGGATCGGCACGCTTTTCCCAAAAATTATTTCCCAGCCCTCTGCTGTTGTAGAGCAAACGCAGCTTCGGCAACAGGTTGTCCACGCTCTCACCCCTGATTGCTGAGATATAGATATTGGGTATGATTGTCACATAACACTGTTAGTTTTAGGCGTCCAGCGTCATGATTTGATATATGTACATATTATGAAATGATCACCACAGTAAGTTTAGTTACCATCACCACCACACACAGCTACAGATTATTTTTCTTGTGATGAGAACTTTGAAGATCTTCTCTCTTTGCAACTTTCACATACACAGCACAGTGATGTTGACCACAGTCACTTTGCTGTACATACATCCCCAGGGCTTGTGTATCTTACAGCTGGAAGTTTGTGCCTTTTGACCCTCTTTGCCCATTTCACCAGCCGCCTCAACACCCAGCCTCTGGTAATCACCATCCTGTTCTCTGTTTCTATGAGTTTGGTTTATTTTTTCAACTCTGTGAGTGAGGTTGTAAGTATCTTTCTCTGTCTGACTTATTTCACTTAGCATAATGCCCTCAAGGTCCATCCTTGTTGCAAATGGCAAGATTTCCTTCTTTTTTATGGCTGAATAAGATTCCTTTATATATATATATATATATATGTCACATTTTCTTCACCCATTCATGTGTCGATGGACACCTAGGTTTCCATGTTACTGAACACAAGTCCATGTGCCCGATGCACAGTGAAGCCAAACAAACACCAGAGTGTGAAGCAGAGAAAGGTTTATTGTAGGGCCAGCAAGGAGACGAGTGGCTCATGCCCCCAAAATCCCGAACTCCCCAAAGGGTTTCAGCAAAGCATTTTTTTTTTTTTTTTTTTTTTTTTGTGGTATGCAGGCCTCTCGCCGTTGTGGCCTCTCACTGTTGTGGCCTCTCCCGTTGCGGAGCACAGGCTCAGGACGCGCAGGCTCAGCGGCCATGGCTCACGGGCCTAGCCACTCCACGGCATGTGGGATCTTCCCCAACCGGGGCACGAGCCCATGTCCCCTGCATCGGCAGGCGGACTCTCAACCACTGCGCCACCAGAGAAGCCCAGCAAAGCATTTTTAAAGGCTAGGTGGGGGGGGGGGTGTCACAGGGCGTGTGATCAGCTTGTACACAATTCTCTGATTGGTCGATGGTGAGGTGTCACAGGGGTTAACTTTATCAGTCCTTAGGTGCTAGTGGGTCTGGGGGCTCATGATCATAAAGTAGTTAATTTTTTCCACTTGGTGAGGGTTTTTAGCATCTGAAAAACTCAGGAAACATGCATGACATACTATTATCTGGCTACTTCAGAGAGGAGCTACAGCAGAGAATATGGGGGAGGGGTCTGTCCCGGGAAGGCCCCATAGGGTCCTGCTCGGCTACATCCATATCTTGGTTATTGTAAATAATGCTGCAGTGAACTGCCTTCCACGTCCACTCCAGGCCTGCAGCCCTGCTGGCAGCATAAAGCCGGTCGTGAAGGACACAGGCAGTGGGGCCTGGGTGATAGCAGGGCTTCCCTGCTCCTTCTATGCGCCTCAGTGTCCTTGGCTGTAACAGAGTACTAGTAACAGGGCCTCCAGGAAAACTCACAAAGACCCTGCTCTGTGACCTTGGGCAGCCACTGCCCTCTCTGTGCCTCAGTGTCCTCGTCTGTAATGGAGAACTAGTAACAGGACCCCCTCCCAGAAGGGCGCGCTAAGACCGAGCTCTGAGACCTTGGGAGGACAGTGAACTCTCTGTGCCTCAGAGACCTCATGTATAATAAAGAACTTGTAACAGGCCCCAGGAGGGCTCACTAAGAACCTGCTCTGTGATATTAGGCAGCCACTGCCCTCTCTGTGCCTCAGAGACCTCATGTATAATAAAGAACTTGTAACTGGGCTGCAGGAGGACTCACTAAGGCCCTGCTCTGTGACCTTTGGTGGCCTCTGCCCTCTCTGTGCCTCAGTGTCCTCATCTAGAATAGAGAACTGGTAACAGGGCCCCAGGAGGGCTCACTGAGAGCTGCTCTCAACTGCCCCATCATTACAGAGGAAGGGGGAAGGAGGCCGGCTACAGGTACAGGATTCCATCCCTCTACTCCCCACACCTTCTGAGCCATTGTGCATGCAGTTCCACCAAGCACACCTGTCCCCTGTTCCCCCAGATCACATGGTGGTGATGCTCCAAGGCCACCCCAGTCACCTGACCTCCCCTCCCCATCAGATGTATTCTCCTTCCTCCTTGAAGCCCTTGACATCACTGCCTTCTCATCTGGTTTATTTGGTCCCTTGTGGTCAGATGCCCAGGCTCCCCCCATGCCCCAAGCTCCCATGCCAAGACCAAGTACACAGCAGGTGCTCCATACAGGTTTAGGGCTGCAGGGAAGGCTCACTCACTCTCCTGCACAAGGATGCTCCTCTGGGGGAGGTCAACTCCAGCTCTTCAGCACGAAGGGCAAGCCTAGTCTGGTGGGTAGAGGCCTAGATCAGTGTGTGTGTGTGCGCGCGCGTGTGTGCGCGCGAGCACGAGAGGTCTCAAAGCTCCAGCTGCCGAAGATCTGCTGAAGGAAAGGGCAATCCCAGAAGAGCCCTGTTCCCTCCATACCCTAACCTGGGGGCTGCTTCCTGGGGATGAAGCTGTCCCCTGAACATCCGTGAGGAGGCACTGGGCAGGGGTGGGGACGTGGGCACAGAGGCTGTGCAGTGACAGGGCATCCAGCCTGGACCCTGCCTCAGGGTGGCTGCCCAGCCCACCCTTGGTCTTAAACCAAGGGCCTCGAACTAGGGCTCAGGGGCAAGTCTAGATTTTTTAAATTAATTCTAACATTTAAAAACTAGAGGATTTCAGGCAAAAGCCCAGGCTTCTAGCTTTGTTAGTTTGTTAGTTTTGATACGAAGTGAGAAGTTCTGGCCTCCTGGGTGACGTTCCTTCTGGGCAAAGCTCTTCTGGGGCTGAGTGGGAGCCCTCTCTGGACGGAGCTTGTGTCCCCAGCTCATCACAGTCCCCACCACCCCCTAAGATTCCCCCGGGCCCAGGCCCTCCCCCAGCCTCTCCTTGCCTGGCCCCTGGAGACATCTGAGTTTGCAGTCCTCCCTCCAGCCCTCACTGCTTCACAAGGCACATGAGGACCACAGTCATGTGCAGCCTGCCCTGAATGCCGGGCAGACGGGATAAATGGGCTGAGAGTGTAGCCTTCAAAAGAGGGGTTCCTCGCATGTCCTCTGAAGGCAGCCAGGAAGGGATGGGAGTGGGAGAGGCCAAGGGCCATGGGCTCTGGAAAGTGTCCCTTGGATGCCCTGTCTTCTGGCTCCAAAGCTGCCCCCTAACCTCTGCCCTTCTCCCACCCCCTCATGCATCACTGCACCCAGGCTTTCTGCAAACCCTGGCCATGCCGAGGCCCGCTTCCTGGGTCAGCCCTGAAGGTCACAGCCACAGGCCCCCGGCCCTGTTTCTCCTCTGGCAGGTCCAGCAGCTGACTGTCGCTGTGGGGTGGCCACTGCCAGACCCCTTTACAGTGAGAGACGGAGCCTCCCAGGGGATAAGGGATTTGCCCAGGGTCACGCAAACTTAGAGCTTATAACCGAGGTCTGCTGGTCTCTCAGCTTGTCCTGAGAAGCAGACCATGTCCCGGGGCGTCAGGGCATCCTTAGGCCGTGACAACCAGGAGAGGTGAATGCAGAACGGGTGAGTGGG